TAATCCCGTATATAACGGTGTTTACTAAACTACTAAGTGTGAACATTAGGTAAGTAATGGCTGTAAAAATATCCCGAGGGATCCAGCGATCTCAACAATCACAATAACAGACGCTGGTCCACACGTCCATTAGGAATACACAGACGACCGTGAAACTGGTTTTCAAAAGTTTCATATCATTTCGCTCTGTTGAGGTCGCTGCACTCACTGTGCTATGGGCATTTAAATTTTGAGTGCTCTCTTTAAGAGTCTTGTTAATTTTGTAGGAGTAGAATATCAAGACTATGGTTCCGTTCATAACTATTTCCACGATAAGCATGGCAAATGAAATATGCTCGATTCAATTAAAAGTATAGACAGCAAAAAGATGTTAGGCCATCCTGCCCCACCCGTACAATGGTGGTGTTAACAGAAGGATAGAAGCTATCCATACGACCGCACAGTTAAGTCGTGCCATTCTCTTGCTAAGGAAAACCCTGTTCAACGCTGATTTAAGTACTCTGATGTATCGGTTGAAAGCGATAAGCCTCTTATTCAGGGCAGAGGCAATTACTTAAGTTCCCAAAATTGCACATTGGATTTCCCACCACTCCTCAAGTTCCTGTATACAGACTTGTTACCCAATAGGGCATGCATAACGTTGCTATGGAAATGTCAGTCAATGCCAGGTTGTGTATTTTCAAATATATTGGCCAAGCTCTTGAGTCTGGAGTCTTAATAGATAACATAGCGAAATAACAAGTTGTCTAGGAAGGAAGTGAGGGGAACAAGAATAGACAATGTCACTTCCAATTCAATTTTTATACAAGAGCTTCCCGGGGGGTCGTAGGAGCTTGATTCATTTTGAGAGCTGTTCGTCATATTCTATCAGAACAGAATTTGACTATAAATTGCCAGCCTGCAAAAAAATAAAATATGATAAAATATTGAAAATCATAATCATCGTCATAATCATTAAAGTTTGGAAGTAGACCTGACCCTGCCCATCGCAATATGGGCGGCTACCTAGTGCGAACAAGAAGCGCCTCGGCTACCCCTATCGGTGCTATGGCAAAAGGAAAGTGGGAGTCTTTTTCTCTTTTTCTCCCAGTTAGTTGAAGAAATTTCGGCCAAATACGAATTTCCAGCTATGAATAAAAAAGAAACTCTTCAAACTTGGAAATTGAAGATGAATCAGAGACAAAAAATAAAAAAGCGGCGTGCGCTTCAAGGTGGCCCAGCCTCAACTGGCAGGGTGGTGTAAATAACCAGGCACCCCCTCCCCTCGCCAGGTCGTCTTTTACCACTGACTATTGCTGGGAAGAGATGGAAGGACTGATGCAAAAGACGGGAAGAAAGCAATGGTCAAAAGAACAGAAAGTTTTGGTGATGGAATATTTCTTCGTAGTTTCCCATCAAGACGTGAGGCTATCGAAGAAGAATGACCGAGAATTGGATACCTAGCAAGATTTATAAAGACCAATGGATGGCTAACGGAAATCGAAACATTATTGGAAATAGAGAGTATTATCCAATTATCACTCCCCACCCCACCCCCCAACTGGGCGGCTGCTGAAAAAAAAAAATAGAATCAGGGAGTTAAAAGACCGAGGAGAAAGAGTGAAAGGTTTCGATGTTTGTGTTGAATATCACTTGGAGAACTATTAATTGGACTATTCTAATCGCACATGTCATTATTTCTATGAAGGATTCGGATCTGAGTCATCACCCTATAATATATGAAAGACGGTACTCAAGCGAAGGTTTCCAATAATGTGAAAATGATTTGTCTATTTACATGCAAAGAAACTGAAAGGTTTTGCATTTAGCCTCGTCTTGAAAATGAGTTTTTTGGCATTCGGAACTGACCCAATAGCTAAAGAGCGTTTTCACTCACGTGACCTGCATCTATGCAAATTTATTGGAGCAAAAGAAAGCGTTTGCATAAGAAAAGAGTTCAACTCCCACAGGACTGGTTTGGAACACCAACATGGCCGCCGTTTCATTGTTTTGGAACACTAATATGGCGGACGTGGCTCCATGTGAAAACGCTCTGTTGTTTCTTCTCGTGTGCGAAAATGTCAGATGTTTTTAAAGTTTGTTTCAAAAGTAATAGCAAAATGGATTAAACGCCCAGCAGGAGCCCATAAGCCGGAGCGAGCAATTCCCATACTTGGCCTATGTCACGGCGTTTTTACGGACCTGTTTATTTTTAGACACATTTTAGGGCACTTTTTCGCACGAAACTAGAATCTCCACCATGTCTATGAGCGCATTCGAAGTATAAGATATCAAGAAGGAAAACTAAACGTTATTAAAAGGCAAAAAATATCATTTTTAGGTCTGTAGGTTTTGCTGACTGGTTTGTGGAATTTAAAAGATATTTAAATTCGCGACAAAACCGTTCTAAAAATAAACTGGTCCGTGAAAACGCCGTGACACGAGCGCATGAAAGTTGCTCTCTCCGGCTTATGGGCTCCTGCGCCCAGTTATCCGCCCCAAGTAAATAAGAGTTCACGGTTATTATGGAGGCGAATCGAAAGGTTTCCTAGCCCGCGAGCAAGCTCTCTTTTTGGGGGAGTTGCGAGAAGTCACACGAGAGCGGCACGCGAAAGGACACAAGAGTGCGTGAGGCTTTGCCGCTCGCTCGCACGTTCTCTCAGAACTCCCTCGCAGGCTAAGGGTTTCCCTAAAAGTTACCCATGTAATATACCATAAGTTAATTAACGAAGGAAAGACTTTTTTTATTTATCCAAAATGCGATTACACTTTCTTTTTCAGAGATATAGAGAATGTAGTGATACCATTCTGATAGAATCACCTGGAGTAGAGCACATCAAGAACCTCTTTTATCCCGGAGGAAACTCGTAAGTCTTTGAAATGTTTTCTGTTTTAAGAATTACGACACACATCTATCCTGTTGGAACGTTTTAAGAATACTTTTATCAATAGACTTATCTATAGATATAAACTCAATATGTAATAAAATAAGTTACCATTTTTTTATTATTATTTACTTTCAATATTATTAGCATTGTGATTATTTATTAAGAAGGAATAGCATGTGTACAGCCGCCCCTTACCTCCGATTTTTTGAGGTAAGGGGCGGCTGTACACAGGCTAGAAGGGAACGAATGAGACAAGAATGTTGAGAATAAGTTTGATAAACCAGAGACTAAAGAAAAAGCAGGAATTCTGCTAACTGCTAATATTTTTTGGTTGTTTCTCCTTATAATCTCTTCATTTGACAGGTGTGCGACACATGCAAATGAAAAGTGGTACTTGAGAGTGATTCACTTCATCTATAAACCAAGAGCAGGTTTGACTTCATTAGACTGTCTGGTGATAAAAAATAAAATTCCCACTACTTTCTCTGTGGATGATATATGCAGCCCGAAAAAGAGATTATGCCAGGACGCAATATTGAGCCACCCTGTGGCTACCTCTCGTTTTCGTCGCGCGTTTTCCTTCAAATCGTCGGAATTTAACAAAAATCGTCACATCGTGAATTTTTTACGTCATAACCCTACTAGCTCGAACAACGACGACGATGACGACGGGAAAAAAAATGCAGCAGGTTTTATAAGCTGTATGAGGACAATTAACTAATTTTGATCGTGCAGTACACTTTTTGGCAAATTCTTTGTCCTCATCACACAACTAATTCTGTCAAACTTGATAGGAATGGCAATGCATTCGTCGCTTTAATCTCAAAGATCCTCGTTTCATCAATAGCAATCGTCGTCACTTCGATTTCGTCGAAATACACACAGAGAGTCACAATATTACGTACTTAACTACATCTCGAGGCTTGGGTAGAAGTCACTTAATTATTTTGTAAAGCGGAGCCTCGAGTTGGTGCCTTTGCTCGAAGGGATGCAGGAAAGCTCTGTCTAGTGGAACGTCAACATCAGAATTTCTTATTGGTTTGGTTGGGCACGTGGTACATAACTAGTCCATTGATTGGCTACTTTTTATTTACGAACCTTATTTACTACTTGTTTATCAAACAGTAAGAGATGTACCAAAATAGCTTAGAGCCATAAAAGGGATCTACCTAGCCTGTGTGGCAGGCACAAAAAGGGGAGGGGAGGTGGAGAGGGGAAGCGCGAAAGGGAAAGAGCATCTCCCATCTCAGCCCTTTACCGTAGTGTCAGCCCTGCAGTGAGTTTTGTTTTATTTCACACTTCAAGTGACGTCTGGCTACAGTAACTCTTTGATTAGAGATCCGGAAAGAGGAACCAGTCAGTTATATTTACGCGTTACGTGGACCTCTCCATTCAAACAGTGTTTGCTATCTCCCCAATCGCCCTCCCTTTTTCTCTTCCTTCCAATCTCCTAACCCTTTTGACGCCTGCTACTCAGGCCAGGACGGACCTACCTTATTATTAATCCACTCTTTCCTTACTTGTCTTTTCTTTTTCACTATCACTATGCTGAATGTCGATTCGTCGAAATGCATAAGCTGACGAAGAATGTATACGTAATATTTCAGTCACAATATTAAACATGTCATAATTGCCAAGCCAATGAGATTCTATGACAAATTTTAATTTAAGCTGATAGAAAAGTCACAGAAATGTGCTACTCTATGCCTTTAGTTCATTTGAATAGAGTGATTTAGCAATTGATCGACGCGAAAGCGGGTGGGCGGAAAGACTGGACGCGACTTCCGGTGCCTAATTTTTCACTTTGCCATTGGTCAAGTCAACTTTGTGGTTTACGTCCGCCGTCGTCACTGCCGCCGCGTTTCCGTTTAGTAAATCTACCTATAAAAAATAAGGCCTTACCCATTATGTTGGTGTTTTTTCAGATTTCAAGTTCTCGACGCAGTTTATATCAACGTTGATGGTTGCTGCAATAGTTATATTTCAGGTAAGTAAGGGATTGTTCACACTATGTTAATTCGAAAATTGTAAAATCGACGCTGTTCAAAAGATTCTTAACCGAAGTTTCGGCAATACTGCTTTCTTCAGGGTTCAAGACTAAATACCGTTAAAAACGTGGAAAGGAAAGTTTCTTTATAAACGTTTTCCACAGCGAGTCAAGGAAAGAACCAATTTAAGTTCTCCTGTCCCACTTGACACGCACTGTCCAATTACTCAGGGCTACAAATCCTGGCTATTGAATTCAGAAACTAATATTTGCGTTTTATTAAAAATTTAATTTTCAAATATGAGCAATCCACAAGTTTAGGCGTGTTTTAGCAGTCATGCGTGCTTATTGGCCCCGTGGAAGTAAGAAAGTACAGCCGGCAAGCGTTTTGCCTGTAAGCCTTAAGAGAGGCCGTCGACGTTTTCCCCGATTGGCGACGCTAATGAATCCTTTTTCGGACTCTTCAATTTGTTTTGTACCAGCTGATTCCAAAAAAATAATAATAATCGTGGATTCTCCAAATCAATGCTTAAATTAGCTTTGCTAATCTCCAGTCAGACTGGAGAATTTGGTTATCAATAGTGACGACTGTAGAACTCATAAGATGCACATTCTCTTTAAGCTCCTTGTGAGTTTTGTGGGTCCATTTGCTGTCTGCGAGAAGACTTTGACCAAGACGTACTGTAGTAATGACAGCTGCAAGGATTTTTTGGGTGTGATTTTTGGTATGTTAATAGCATAGGAAGTTCGTTTAAAGTCAATATAGAAATAAAAAGGGTGGCACTCTGTGGAACTTGTAGGAAAGTTGTTTATAGTCAAACGATGTCTAATGAATTAGAGTGATTTGACTTAACCAGTGAAATATATAGTAGACTAATACGAAGCATTCAATTCTAATTTTATTGTTTTCTTTTGTTTACTTGCAACTATTTGGCACTAACTGATGCATACTGTTTCACAGGTTAAGTAAAATCTCTCTACCATCCGCTATTTTCATTCCCCCGTTTATTATGGTTATACTCTCTACCTGTCTTTCTCTCCGCTGAGAGTGGTACCTAATATGTTTGGGCCTAGAACTTTTTTAAAATACTTTTTCTACAACCGCCCGTTAAAAGTTGTATGTAACTTTTTGCCTTTGTTTTTTGTTTAAATAGTTATTTTCCATTCAGTTTTAATTTGGACCATGGTAGAATCGGAAAAGAGGAATACAAAAGGGTTGTACGTTCAAATTAGATTTTCTCACTCGCCGATAACTGAACTTTCCTGGATCTCTGCTTTCACAGGCAGCTTGCAAACCGCCTATATTTTTTCCTGGTTTATATCCGCCATATTGCTTCTACACTTTATGAAGTGTCATCGGTAAGTCTTTATGTAGTTGATTTGGTCGAGCCAAGGGAGATTAATGGGAAGGGAGGCGATCTTAGGGCGTTGGCCAAGGGATGTGAATTTCACTTAGGTTTTTTTAGAGTTCCTGAGATGTCCGCATATTTTAATGGACTATATGAAACGTCACCAAGTCCCCGCGCGACTGCCTCCTAAAGCAAACAATGCAGCATATTAGCGACTGTTGAATTCTCTCTAATAAAACTGAATAAGTTAGCGGACTTCTCCTGAAAGGAACCTCTTATTACATGTAATTTCAAGCATTTAATTGGTATAATTAAGTGAAATTTACATATCCCAAGGGCTTGACTGGACGTTTTCCTCTCTTTCCCATTATTTTCTCGTGTTAGAGCTCTTTTCAACTCCTTTTTTTCTCACCCACCCCAAACCAACCCAACCGTCAACACCATTTTTGTCTCACTCGCTTCCTGTTTTTCAGGAGTCATGTACTGCAGCTATATCAAGGGAACAAAGCCTTTTATCAACAAGTGGAGGTTTCGCCAACAACACTGGTGGTAAGTATTTGATTTCAGAAAAGTAAGGAATTTAATTAAGATAAAGATATTTAACAATTAAAGAATGAGGCTGAGTATCTTATGAAGAATTATGGAGATCGAGGAGGGTGTTATCCGTCGAGGCCGTAGGCCGAGGCGGATAATACCCTCCGAGATCTCCATAATTCTTTATATGATACGAAAGCCGAATGCAATAATTGTTTTATTATTCATTCAAAATAGTTCCTAGTTCAAAAACATAATTAAAACATGCTTACCTCCATCGCTGTTAAGTTCATCTTCGATATTGCACGTTTAGGGTTGTTCAGCTCCGCAAATATTCTCCAAATAGCAGGTGTCGCCCTTCGAGTTGTCTTCTTCCTGTTCTTGCCATGTTTTTAGCTACTATTTCGTATAGTTCTTACTCTTGAAACGAGTGAAATGTCCGCCATTTTTGTTTTCACAACCAAAACAACTCAACCTCGTCTCCAGGTCTTCTCGGTTAACGGTGATTTAACCTGCAAGGAAGATGCACTTTTCACGTCATCAGTTGATTAATCGCAAAATTCTTCCAAATTTGGTCATCAGTAGCTGGTTATGGTGAATTATGCGTGTGCTTTTAGCCAATCAGAATCGGGGAAATGTTTTGAATGAATAATAATGAGTGTTAAGATACTTTTTGCATTTTGCAACACTTTTTGTACTTCGTGAGGATGTTATCTTCTGTGTTTTAGTAGTAGTGGTGGTGGTAGTGGTAGTGGTAGTGGTAGTGGTAATGGTAGTGGTAGTGGTAGTGGTAGTGGTAGTGGTAGTGGTAGTGGTAGTAGTAGTAGTACCCTACTTTTGCTTGGGCACTTTTCCTACCGTGTCGCTCCAATAGGAACAAGGGAAAAAGGGCAAGGGAATCCAAGACAGTCTTGGATTTTGATTCCAGGTACTGGGTCCAATCTGTGGAATTTTGATACTTGATTCTACTCGTTAGCGGGATTCCGGATTCCTTGAGTTGTAATCCCGATTCCAAAGCCCAGGACTCCAGATTGCACACAAGCAAGATTTTTCCGATTACGGAATCCGGATTCCCTCGCAATCACCGTTTTCACCGAGATCATAAATGCACCTTGTGAAAAAAAAAGGAATAACCATGGCCTTCGATTTCTCTTGGAACGACTGTAATACCCATGAGAAATTGGAAACCATGGTTATATAAAATTTGGGGGTAAACAAGATGCATTATGCCATGGTCAATAGGGCGATACTCTGAGTGCCAGCCCTACGTTGCCCCGTAATGATTTTCTGGAAGAGAAGTATGTATGGTAGTTTGCAAATTTTTAACGGTTGTTAAACGTTATTGCATTTCACTAGGAAAGAAGTATTTTATTTTCTGGATACCAAGTCGCCTACACAATAGCTGGTAGGAAATTTTTTTTTCAGCGCTTTTGGGAATTTTCGATATAAGTTTTTATTCCCAGGTCTGGTTCTGCAAAGAGATCTGAAAACACCCTGTGTTAAAGAATGTATTTTATTCATGATAATGATGCTGAAAGTAACAATTTCGATGATTTTGATGGTGATCGCGGTAATGGTGTCCATGATAATGATATGATAACATAATAATGTCGATTTAATGCTAATGGTGCTGATACTGGTAAAGGTGATGATAATGATGGTTGCCTTCATGACGATAATAGGGAGTTTAAGATACCACAACGGCGACGGCGGCAAAAACGTCGCTTAAAAAGTGACTTCTCGATCTATGAAACTTTAACGCAATTATCCCAACTCGGTCACTATCTTTTATGTAGGCGAACTCTCCCGGAGTCGAGTTCTTAAGAAAAATATCCAGGTTTACAAAGAGTAAGAGAGATTCGTCGTCGTATGTTCACGTTGTCGATAAAACGTGAAATTAGGTCATTCACGTCGTAGTCGTGCTGCGACCGCAAACAAACTTACAAAAAAGCGTGATGCACGTGCAGAGTTGTTGTTTTGCTAATCTTAACCATTTGCTTTTTGACGTTCTCGTTGCCGTCGCCGTAGTGGCATCTTAAACTCCCTATTGACGATGACATTGACGATGATGGTGACAATGATGGTGTTGTTGAGGGCGATGATAATGATGGTGATGATGATGACGATTATGGTGATGATGATGGTGACGATGGTGGTGACGATGATGGTGATCGTGTGATAGTAAAGGTGATTGAAATTGCCCAACCCTGTTCTTCGTAAAAGAATATGTCTACTCCATAACAAGCTTGAATAAGCAACATGAGGACCAACCGGAAGAACGTGGACCGTATCGTGAGTACAATTGCATAAACTAATTTGAACGCCGATCGCTGGGTTTCTTTTGAAATGCAACCATCAGTATTGACGCCATATTTTTCTTCTTCTCGTCTCGTTTACGCGGAGCCACCCGTAGGTCTAAGCAATATCGTTTTAATACTATTCATATGAAATTAATTTTGTTTGACTTGTTTCTAGGTTATATGGTCTTGGGGTTATCTCTAGCGGTTGTGTGCGTCATTTTGGGGCTAATTGTGAAGTACTGGAATGATATCATCGATCAAGAACAATTGAAGAAATTTGTGTTAACTGCGTTGTAAGTCTTTGCGCTGTTTATTCATAATTACGTATATAAGGTCATTACTCTTTCGGTCTCGTAACGTACCATATTTTCCCTAACATGGCCATCTAGAGTTAGGTCTTGTCGTTTTTGACCCATTTTCTTTGTCTCTTCATGTGGCGAACATCTCTCTGAAACAGGCCGCACCTTGTGACGTTCCCAAAATGTTCTTTAACCCTTACATTTCATATATGAAGCTTTAAGAGCAGAGTGCTAATTACAGCAAATTTTTTTGGCGGCAAATAATTTTGGTTAGTCTTCATGGCATTATTATGGATGGCGTCATTTTACTACACCTAGAAGAAAGTTTTGTTGATTGTTATTGTCGAACCACACAGGGGACCCGTAGATTTCAATAACCAAGTAAAACGGTAAGGAATTCTACTAGCTCGGGAAAATGACCTTCTGTTGAAGACAGCATTAAGGTACCTCCGAAGTGGTTTGAGGTTCTGTTGCATGGAACGTAGGTCAAGGTAACTCTACTAAGGATTACCCCCTGGAAGGTAGACTTTCAAAAAAGTCCTTCGTCCGATTCAAATTTTACAATAACTGAGGGAATCCTCGCGCGCTGATTGGTCAAGAAATATGGTCTTTGAGAGTATAGACCATGGAAATGACGTAACATGTCACGCGTGATTTTCCGAGA